CTCAGTGACCATTAACAATGTAAACACTCGAACCAACTCTATTCACCCAATCGTGTGTGCGCGCGCGCACGTCGCTTCATTCGTTTGATCATTTTTGTCCGTGCAAAATGTTTTTTCTTCTCTTTTTCTATTTTTGGCGAACGGCGTGATTTTCGAGTTTCGAAAATGTATCTTGTGGTCAACCGACAGCGATCGGAAAATATGCGGTTTGACCGTTTTCACTTTTAATCATAATTTGCTTTTCTCTTTTCTTTCCGAAACCGCCAATTAATCTCGGCCAAAGCAACGATACACATTGGAATTGAATTCCATGGCAAACAAAGTAATAAAGCGAAGTAATAATAATGATGATTTAAAGAGAGCAACACAGCAAGATAAAAGACTTTCAATGGATAGCCGCATCATTGTTTTGCTAGCCACAAAAACCACCGTTCAGAAGACAAGAACATCAAACGGACAGCAAAAAAAAACGAGGCACAACAAGAGGATGAGAATGAGAGAAGTGAAAAAAGTAGAAGAAAAAATCATACAAAATCAATAACATTGAAATAATTTGTTTATATATTTGTTGTGATAGTTTGTGGTTATCGTTTGCACACATCCACGTATGAACCTGGCTAGACAGCATTTGTGAAGCAGCCCAAGTTCATTATACAATGTGATGTACATCGCACAGACACAATCAGATTCGCTTGTCTCTCTTTTCTGCCTTCCACTCGATGCGCCTCACTCTCTTGGCCGAATGCACACAAAAAAAAACAATAACACTAACCCACATCCGAGAACGAACAGTTTATCGATGCTATTGTTGCAGTGTCGACACATTCGAGGCTCTTCTGCTTGCATTTCATTTTGTGAGTACACACAGTTTTATCCTGATCTTCATATTTCTTCCACTCTCCATCTTTCGTTCTCCGTTTGCGCATCGTTCTTTTGCTGCTTTGCTTTGGATCGCAAAAAGTTATTGTTTTGCGCGCATCGAACTCACCCAACCATCGAACAATAAACACAAACGAAACTGAAAATAATAACTGTTATTACTCGGATATTATCTTCCTACGAGCAGAATGAATGTGAAGCATACGAGAAGTAGACAGTAAAAGTGGAAGACACATCTAAATGTTTTACAATGGTGTTTTTTCATTCGGTTAGTTCCAGTTGTTACTGCCATCGGAAGAAGACGATCTCGTCATAATGACGACGCAGAAGTAAACACATCGAGAATGGAAACGGAACCAAGTTCTATGCATTCCAAATGCAAAATGCAACGTCAAAAGGACACGAAAAAGGCAAAAGGAAGTTCGACAACAAAAGAATTGCAATTCAAAGAATGAAATTGGGCATCGAATCGATTCGAATCCGTTGCTTTGTTGGCGTAGGTGCAACATCGTGTAAATCTAATCGTCGGTGAAAATACACTTTCTTACGTTTTCTTCTTCTTCTTCTTTTTCTCCTGTTTTTTTTACGCAAATCGAAAATAAATTGACGTTAAAGATTAACCAAACAAAATCTGAAATTGAAAATGAAATGAGAACCAGACCAAAGGAACGAACGAAAATAGCCATATAATGTGGTTTCGTTGCATTTTTTGGTAGTGGAATAAACTCACAACAAATGAAAACAAACTCAAAAGCCGTACGGTTATCGGTGTTCTGTTTTGCTTCTTAATTTCGGTTTTGACCAAGTGGTCATATTTTTCTTTGGTTTGGTTTCGTTTTCTTCTTCTCTTTCAAGCCACCGAATGTGTCCTTTTCGGTGTGCACCGAGAAATTGGGTTAGCGCAACCGGAAATTACGCACAGGTTTTTGGCCGAGCGAACCGTTTTATTTGTGGCTTGTAATTAATTTCATCGAATTCAATATGCTGTTTGGTTACATCAAATAACTGATTGATTCTGAACAGTCAGGTTATTGTTCCGTTGCTTGGGTGGTATTCACAGAAAAACGTGTTGGCTCACATTATTTCTCGATTTAAGAACGCTAATGAAATTAAATTATGCTTAAACATGTGGTTTTTCTGTTGTTAAATGCATCTCGAGTGACCAAAGTCATAATAATTGACAAACCAACATTTCAAGAAACTAAAAAGTTAAGTCCAAAAAATATTCTTCAAGGAAATGTGCATCTTTCATCTCATCAAAGATGAGATTCATCTCCATTTCAATTTCATCTCATTGGAATGTGGAGATCGAATCACGAATTATTTTGATCTGAAAAAGCAATTTATCAAAATTGCGATGACAATATCACAATCGATTTCATTAAAATCATGATCATTGCAAACTTCACAAGTAATAAATTCGAAAAAGAAAGAATGTGCAAAATCAAAAAACTATTTACGATGCGAATGCTGATCTAGTGTCACATTAAATTCCTTTGTGTTCAAAAGCGACCATTTATTCGTCTCACAACTGAAAAAAAAACTGTATTAGGGTCAGAGAAGAAAGAAGACCGTATGAGAGAAGAGAAAAAACACGCATGGGACAAACAAAAAACGAGAACCATACGACAAATCTTTCATACGAGACATTTTTTTACATCACAAAAGAATACTAAGGTTTGCACATGCGATCAACAACGAAGCGTAGCTACGTTTGTATGCGTCTTAGAGCAGATCAGCCTATGGGGTCATGTTTTTTTCGTCTATGCCGTACATTTGTTCTCACGCAGATCTTTCTACTAATTTTTTTTTAAATCACCGCTGACAAAAAAGAATGGTCCCTAATCGAATTCAACTGAAACGCGGACGATACAAAAAAAGTGCACGGATTTTAAGCCATTGTTTTTTTTTGGCTGGGCAATAAAAATGTTCTGCACGTAACAACGACCTAAGAAAGCAGGAAAAAAGACCAATTGAAAGGACGGTAGAGGAAAAAAACGACGGTTACGATTTTTTTAGAATGTTCATTACGCATGGTTGTTTCGTCTCTAGTTTGGGGTCCATTGCGCAATGGCAAAAAAAATGTAGTTTCATTACGCTTATTGCGACGACGCATTGAGCTTACTTGATTTATTTAATTTAGATGCTCGCAAGACATTTATTTCCTGCAAGACCGAAACACAATTCCAAAAAATAGCGTGTGTCATTTAGAATGCGTTGGAAAATTCGAAGTGCATGCGATGAAAAGCATTAAATTCGCCTCGAAGCCAATATTCATTCAGCTGTCCTTTACTACTGGTTTTTGCGCAAATGCCAGCCTAAGAAAACATTTCTGAACCATGATCACATTTAGTGTGGCAACGGAAAAAAATTAACATCACTTTTTAGAAAATCATTCAAGTTTCATTTTTTCAACAACAACATCCAGGAGGCTGCCTCAACGAAGCACACGTCACTCCAAAATAAAGTTCTAAAGTAAACACGTTCGCTAAACCGGAATTGTAAATCAAGGTGTAAAGGATTTTTTAGCATCATTGTTTATTTTTTTATTCGAAAAAAAGAAATGTCGGTACACAAAATGTGAACGGGTCAAAAAAACGAATAGAAAAAATGCCATAATTTCATCCTTAATTTAAAATTTGATCGGAAGTAAAGGATGAAATTTCAGTTGAAATCACTTAAATCATGCGCTGCATAAACCGACATTGTTCACAGAGAACCAGACGTTTCTTTTTTCTGTTTGGATTTTTTTTCTTCAATACTCGGAAGTTTGGTTGATATTGACGCGTCAGTCAAATTCTGATTTGATCTTGAGTTTATAATTGAATTTGTCTGTGTCACCACGGAAGAGGTTCCGTACACATGTCTCATTTCATAGTTCACGATGCGAATAAATAATAATGGGAGAGTCACTTTTTTCCTGAATGGAAAAAAAGGTCCGAGTTTATGCAGTGCATTCGAGAAATATCCAACTACGAAACCATTGACTATTTGCTGGAACAATGGTTGTTTATGTTTTTTCACTCTTTTGTGCGTACGCACACGATAAACCCCTTGCGCATAAATTTGAATAATAAATTAAAAAACCCGAATGACGGTAGCGCATTGAAAAAACTATTTAACAAGCAACTCATACGCACTGTGAGCGACCCATACAAAGACACCGCGATTTTTTTTCTCGTCGCTGAGTGTGACCCATGTCATTTTTTCTACGTTTTGTTCCACACGCGTATTGAATTTTCAATCTGTGGGTAGTTTTGTGATCGTACAGCCACACATGGACGGCACACACACAATTGTTATAAAAAAAGAGTTTGTATGCATTTCGATTCGGTTGGAATGGTGAAAAAAAGGATAGGGGTATTCGTGCCATTTTACATTGTTGGAAAATGAATTTATTATTCCATTGGTTCACTATCCTGTCGCTCGTTCGTATTTGATTTAGTAATGCGCAGCGCGTCCGTCGAACAACATTGAAAACATCCAATTTCAAAATGATTTTTATAGATGCGCCCGTAAAATGCATACAATCTGCATCTGCGTTCTTTTGTTTAATGGCTTCAATGGCTGTAAACGGATCATAAAGAGTTGACAATGCACACCATGATCCATGATACGAAAAATGTAAATGAGTTTTCATTGAAAAAATTCACTGCAACAATGATAAATTTGCATCGACCTCGTACGCATTTGCACTTTAATCGCTGCTTATTGTCGCGAGTTTCACAATTTGAATTTATGATCGTATCGAATTTTCGGAATGGTTCATCGGGCAATGAATGATGAATAGTCCTTATTTATACAGAAATCAGTTTTAATAACGTATTTTAAATCGGAATTGCCATTCTATATTCGCCATTCATTGTATTAACGAAAAATAACAGTTTCACTTCCGCTTCGGGTTTAAAATCAATTATTCCCAGTTTGTGGTTACTTCATCATAACACCACAATATCCGCTAATTACGAAACACTTTCATTCCAGAATAACTGCTGTTTTAGATTTTGAATGCGTCATTTTCTCATTTAATTTTCATTATATTTCTCACCTTGAAATGGATCCTTTTGTTTACGGACCCAGCAATGTGAAATGAATTCACACATCAAACGGTGATTTCTGAATGTTTTTCTTTGCTTTGGCCTAGAAGACAATGTCAGAGGAAATGAAGAATTTGATACAAAGAAAGACTCGACCAAAGGATCGTTTTTTAACACCAACATAATGACGTACGTTGACCATCTGTGGATTTAAAAACGCAGACCAAGTCTGTGTGAGGGAGAAAAATTGGATTTGATTCATGATGAGTGAGGATTTTTAAAAAAAATGTTAACATCCGTTGATGATATGGATTGAAATGTTTACAAGTCGAGGCGTGTTGATACCAATGTTATCTTAAATACTTCTCGAAAAAGCAGAATACTTATGAAGCTTAGTTTCGTCAAATGAATCCAAAAATCAGCATGATAAAGACGGACAAGAATGAGTATTTTCACATATTGTTCAAATGGTCGACGGTTATTCGATCACTGTTATTGTTGTCGATTTCCGAGCCCAATGAAAATGTGAACAAGAACATGTACAGTTATTTCGGCTCCGTTTTTAAGCAAATAAAAAAAGAAAAATGAGACGAACCGAATTCACTGAATTGAATTGGGTCAGGTTGTTTTCTAAAGACGTAATAATAAATGGTAAAACTAGCTGAGAATGAATAGAAAAATTATGTAATTCGATCAATAAACCGTGCATGTGCATTTCCATCGGAGTTGGATTGGATCGACTATTGAATTGGAAAACTATTGCACAATGACGATGTGGAAAAAAACCGTCGAGCCTTCGATTTAATTTACCTGTTCGATTGGTTCGGCGTCGCATTGCATTTCTTTCAAGTAGACGTTGTTTTGTTGCTGCTGCTGCCGCTGTTGTTGTTGTTGTTGTTGTTGTTGTTGTTCCTGTCCATTTTGAATAGATGAGTTGTTAAATTTGAGGCTCATTATTACCTTGCCGAACGTCTGGCAATTTTGAATCGTATTTCATATTGTACGGAGAATAAGGTAACGTTTTTGCAGGAAAGTGGAAAAAGAAACTTCCCATCGATACGGGCGCTTTATTAACAGACAGCACAAAGAAAATCTAGAACAAAATAGAGAAAGAAAAAAAGCAATGTGTCTATTTTTAGTTTATGATTTGTACGAGCGTTGGTAACTCATTGTTTAATCGATATCAAACACTGTTTCGACAATGCTCATTGCCTGCACCGACAATTCGGTCTTTTTTCATGGACGACGATGCTGTCGCTGTCGTGATATTTGGTTACAAGTAAATTCAATTTAATGCGGATCGTTTGTTCTGTTGACAATATTGCGAAATTACACATTAAATTCGCAAAGCGATTTCGCTGTCAAAGACGCCAACAACAAAAAATTGCATATATGTGAAATGAGAGCAGCGTTTCGGTGCGAATCAGTTGAACATTTGTTTGAACAATGAAAATTATGCAATAATTAAGAGCTTGTGACTCTGGAAATTGTATCACGGCCAAGCAATAAAAATCCTGTCTACAACTATAAATGGCGAATTGCTTAAGTGAAATCTTTGAAATCAATGGGGTCGGATTTGTCGACATCGTCGATCGTGTGAAAAATGCCGAGTCGTTCCGGGCAGTGCAATTGCATACTGCCACAGCAAGCGGCAGCTCACAAGAGATATCCGAAAACGATGGTGACTTCACGAGGAAATAAACAGAAATTGCAGAAATAAAATTACATGACGTTAAATACTTTAACATCAGCAAACAGCCAAAAGTGCTCTCGCAAAGCAATAGAGAGTCAATGGGACCGAATCAAGAGAAAAAGGAACGCGGGCGCGCGCGAGTGGAATCTAAGCGGCAAAACAACAGCAATAAACATACAATTTCAACAAATGATATAATGGTACACAATATTTTGTGTGTCATTTTTGGTACGGGCTTCGGCTGCTGTTGCTTCAGCTTTGTGCCGTGTGGCTCTCTCTTTCGCTCTCTTCGCCCGATTCCTGCACATTTTCACAGATATTTATTTGATTTGTTTTTAAGTGGCCCTTTTTTACACGATCTGCAAATAAATTTATTTAAATTCAAGCGATGAAGAAGCAAATAAAAAGACAACCAACAGCAACAACAACGTTAGCAAACGACCAAAAAACGCGAACAAACAATAAATACACAAAAGAGAAAAGCAAACGAAACAAAACGAGAAATCCAGCCGAACCGATGAAAGAAAAACGAAGTTCGTATTTTGCACGAGACCATTTAATACACACGCGCTCGCGATAGAACTGCATGGCAATCTCAAGTCTATTTTGCACACTCACACATTCCGAAGCGGCAATCGCTCAATGAGCGCGATAATCGCAACCAGGATAGGCAAACATACGAACTGCTCAGCATTCTCTATGTGCTACCAATAATCCGAATATTATTATTATGGATAACTCCAGACACCAAATGAGCCTTGCATATTATATTGCCATGCAAACACTGTTCATTTCGATGTTTCTCACTCATTGCTTGTCTGCGATTTTGTCTCTCTGTCTCGGTCTCAGACTCGACCAGAAAATGTTTTTGTGTTTGTTTTCAGTTTCGGTTCGGGTTTTGATTTTATTGCCAGCGCGCAAATCTCCAAAATAAATTTTCCAATCGTGGCACAAGAAGGAAGAAAGCCACAACAGATATAAAGCGCGACGTAAGAGCGTTTGTACCGAACAAATAGCTGCGAACCGGTGGAAACGGCAGCAGCAGCAACAGTCACATTAACTAAATGCAATATACGTGAACTGTGCTGCACATAAAATTGTTATGTTCTAACATTTTGTCGTCTCGAAAATTAAGTAACGCCGCGACAATACAACATACATTACTTTAGCTCGACACGACCCACAAAAAATAGCAACAACAACACCAGCAGCACACATATTTTGACTAATGGAAATTGTGCTCCAGGTCTAGCTTTGCAAAGGTGCTTCTGACAACGAAACACATACATATGACTGTTTTTCTTTTCTTTTTTCTTCTGTTCTTCTGAAGTTTTTTTTTGCATTTTAATCGCGAATCGAAACAGATACAAAAAAACACGCACCAAATGAGACAATCATGACGCGTACCGAGGCTTCGATTCGACGCACGAATGCCCAATCAGGTATTCTATTCGGCTTGAATTATGTGCATCGCTGTGACAAAGACGATCGAAAAGGTTTGGCAGAGAGAGTAAGAGCATGTAAAAAAATCCAACAGAAGAAGGAACATTAACACGATGTAACATCAATTTGGTCGAAAAAGACCGTGTAAATGCAAATTAGGCGGAATGCTTAACAATTTTATTATGTTTTACGAGTTCGGTTCGTGTGCACAGCACTCCTTGTTCACTTTTTAGCTCCTTTGAAATCAAATCTCGTTGTTGGCCATTTACATTCAATCCATTGGACAAAATGAATCGAGCGCGCTTGGAATACTTTTTAGGAAGCAAAAATGCTGGAAATCCAAAATCGTGCCGGGCTGATGACGTAGATCAATTGCAAAGGCCAAAAATTCCTTAAGGTTTCAATGCCGGAAGAAAAATTTCGAAATGTAAAAAATCGAAGGCGAGAAAAGCAAATGTTCAAATGTTTAGAAGAAAAAACAAATCAACAGAACTGTAGAAAAAATCACCATCCCGTTTGGAAATGCACAAAAAACCATTTCTCACCATTCTAATTTTCATGTGATTCTCACCGTCATACATACAATTTCACATCACCCTAAGTCTCCGTTAGGCTCATCTAAAGATAGAACTAGGATGAAAAACCAACAGATCTACGGACAGTGTGGTTTCCAATGATTCTGAAGGAGATGAAATGAAAAAAACTAAAATCCATCAAATTGCAAGTTCAGGCTTGACTGATCATACGGTACATCTTCTTCTTCTTCTTAATCTTAATGGTTGAATTTTTTCACGTTCATTCTTTGGCACTAAATGTTTACCGAACGGAACTAGAAAAAATAAACGGTGAAAAAAAATTATTAGTGAGACTCGTTTCTTCCAGGACCTTTGATGTGACCCTTCACAATACGATGCGTTAAAAAAGATGCTCAAAAAATCGTAACCGTAAAGAAATCTAATACGCACACAAACCCCGTGAATGACGGGCATAAAAGAAAGCAGTGAAACAGAAAAAAAATATGTACGCACATTTATTCGGGGCAGCGATAGCGTTTGAGCACCTTTGTTTTTTTTTTATTCGTATCTGACATGAATATACGTCATTTATGATTCCAAGGAACGCAAAATCTTCCATCATCTGTTTTTTCTCCTATTGAAAAAATGACTTTTTTGCCTCGAAAATAATTGCATGACATTCAAGTATAGTTAGACTTCTTCTCTCTGGTGTACCGTTGAGCTACGCAGAAATCACTAAAATTTAATTGTTATGTCTTTGACATGCACTTCATTTACCAAATGTCCTCCTTTTGTTTACGATTCCGAATTTGTTATTTTCCGGTAATGACGCAAATCTACGGGCACTTTTTACGGCTAATTTTTTGAATCTCTCAAAAATTGACGTTGATCTCCGCGACTCAAACTTTTTATACCTTCTGAAATGCAACAAAGAATGTACGATTTCTCTTAAGTATTCGAACATTGAACACATTTTTTCTTCATTTCGAAATTAAGCATCTCATAAAAGAAGATGCAAAATAAAGGGTCACTTTTTTTATCAACGAGGTTCACATAATTTATACCTGAAAAAATTAACGGGATAAACGTAAACATCAGACTTGTATGTATAGAAAATTTTGCTTGCTTTGTTGCAAGAAATGAAATTGAAAATCTTCGGAGAATCATAATGAAGGTAGAGAGAATCAAAGTGCACACTTGACGAATCAATCAGTGAATAAAGAAATAAATCCTAAGCCAAGTGAAAAACTGTTCTCAAGATCAAAATTGAACCAACATTTTTGTTGAATTGAATCAAGTCGCTCGCAACGATGAAAGAATTGGCCAAATAACAAAAGTGGTTCGCATAAAAGCAGCACTATATTGTCCTTTAAGCTTGCCACTGGCATCATATTGCACGTTTTTATCGATGATTCCAATTTTCTCACGAGTCGTTTCACAATAAACATAGCAGCAGTGGATTAACGTTTCGATTAACAAAGGGAAAAAAAACTGGAGAAGAGTCCTGAATCGTAAATGGATTTGACCTACTTTGATTCACATCGCATCTCAGACATTGCATTGCATTGTATTCGATGCACTTACATCGATCGAAAATTATTGAAGCGTACCGTCCCTCACAAAAGAAATAAAGCCATAACAAGGTCTATAAAATATGATTTCACCACAAGTCTCAAGAAACGTTCGAAAGAAAGAAAAAAACTGCATTCATTTAAATTGAATTACCATTTTTCTTGGATTTAATCATAGTTCGAACGATGTTCGTGTGTCCGCGCAATACATTTATTCAATGAATGATGTTATCTGCGTGTTGACGTCGATACTCGACCACGCTAAAGCTCATTACCAATTGTTACAAATGCGTTTTGATGCACACCTACGACATGAAACCAAAATTGAATAATTTTACGGTATGAAACCAAAGCAGCAAAACGATTCTTAATTGTTATATTTCGAAACTAAAATGGAAAACGAGACAAAGATAGAGCATCCAGAGCGAAAGAGACACGACATGCGCAAAGTAACAGAATTTGTAATGAACAAACATCGACAATAAACAAAAAATCATCATATTCCATAATGATAAATGCTTGGGTTAATGCCTATGAACTGATTTGCTGGTTGTTTATGGCAAACGTAATAAAATATCGCTCGTGTCGATGTTTCTATGGTGTGTTTTGATGAGTTGGGCTTTGTTCGGGCAACAATCTAAGTGTATCGTTGCGTAAGTGATGTTAAACACAAAATTCAATTATTTATTAATCGCTCGGCAACCATTCATGAACGTCACCTCGCGCTCTACGTGTATTTCTTTCGATTTTATTTTGTTAACGGTGATGTAAATGGGAAATATTTCATTGAGATGGACTTCAAGCATTTCCATCAACAATAGCCGATTTAGAGGCTTTTAGAACAAACGCAATGACACGCAACAAAATAAAACGTCGCTCAATATTTTCGAGAGCTAGAGAGAGAGAGAGAGAGAGAGAGAGAGAGAGGGAGAGAGAGAGAGGGAGAGAGAGAGAGAGAGAGCGAACAAAAAATGCTTGAAATAAATCGAAAGACATCAAGGAGTGTTAAAATTGGAATAAATCATTGGAATCACCAATAAAACTTCGGGTACAGGGTAACCACGAAATCAATTTCGAGAATAAGCAGAATCCAATCTCCTGGTCACCTTAATGGACTACTACATCACCCTGTTTGTTTGGCATAATTTTTTTTTCAGTTTTAATTGAATCTAAGTGAATATCATGAGATCGAAAAACAATTTATACTTCTACAATCGCACAAAATTTTCATTTTTTTCATGCGCCAAACTCAAATCAAACGAGGGCTCCCTTTCTCTTGCTCGCACGATTTTACGCGTTTGCATAATTTTTGTAATAAAACGATGAAAAAAAGAGTTTACTTTTCCGTAGCATATAAATCAGCGGTCGGTTTTTGCGACGCAACTTACTACAAAAAAGCAGCACGCAAATCCAGGCCAATTTAAATGGTGAGACTCAAAAACCGATTCGCAGCCAAAAACAAAACAAAAAAAGTGAACACTCGCTCAACGAAAACGAAGTGAGTGTTTGGGTGAATGAAGAGACAGACAGAAAGAGAGCCAGAGCCGGATAGTTTGTACATAAACTATGATTTTGATTGCCTGCGATTTTCATTTGATTTAATAAAACTCACAACAAAATAATAAATCGGCATCTTTTCATATCATGCAATTGCTCGCTGGCAACAACATAACATCCAACTCACTCACATTTACCATCCAGACTAAAGCCTAAATCGCAATTTTCATTTGCTTTTTTGCTCTCTCGGCGTAGCCGAACACAGCAATCGAAAACATAACATATTATTTGATTTACAATTTTAATTTTATAAAATATAAATGCGAATATTTCAAAGATTGAAGTTTCAAGTAAACAAAAGTACACACAGCATCACACACAAGCCGATCATGAGTACAGTGTATTTTGTGTGCACTCAAAATTGGTGTGTGCTGAGCGGCGCATAGTCTGAAATACTACGACTCGTTAGCGGATTGCCAGTTGCTGATTTCTCTCTCTCTCTCTCTCTCTCTCTCTCTCTCTCTCTCTCTCTCTCCTTTCGTTGATCATACGAATGTGAATTAATGAATGAAATCGTGCATATTTATTGTTCAGTTGGCGCAAAAAGTAAATGAGACGGGAAGAGGAAAGAGCGGCAAAACGCGGCTCTGGTCCAATTGTGAGAAGGTGGATTGATGGTAATGTGTTGATGGTGTATGAATATGCATGCGTTCGCATGATTTCAATTTCAAAAACCGAAAACAAATGACTCATAGACACTTGGCTGATTTTACTTGCACACACACACACACACATCCTCTTCAGAGCCATTGTATCAAATCGTTACATAAGCTTAGGCAAACGATGCGCGTCTAGTGCTTATAAATTGCATCAATGCGCTCGGAAAAATGATAAAATGAATGAACGAACATGACCGGAGTTTGAAATTAAAATCTTCATAAGAGGTGAGAATTTTGTGCTGAACTAAACAAAATGCTACAACCATTTGCACGGCAGTGAGGCACAGCGACACGATCGCATTATCGTGATCAGTGTCGCAAAATTTATGTGGAAAGCCACTGACCGCCATCCGCCATCGGCTCAAATAGTTGCTTTGCAAATGAATGATGCATCTCTATGAGCTGCATAAAGTCTTATCAACCGGAGAGATTTCCATTTGAACAATTTCAACTGAAATGAGAACCGTTAAGCCGTGCGATTCGAACGTTCAGAGACCCGGTGATTGATAAGAATATAATGAGCAACTGGCATAACTATGGGAAAGACCTAGAAATTATCAGAAGCAGTCGGCTTCTTGAAATCTAGAGCGCAACAACATTCTGCTCATTATCGTTTTTCACACCTTTTTTCCTTGTTTTTTTTTTCGCTATTACTTTGCCCAGTCTTCCACACACCACTGCTTGCACAAATTTACAATCGTCGGAATGCAAGAAATAATTCACGAAAGCTCCAAAATGCAATGAATTATGAAAATTTTACGTGAATTATTAAAAAAGTAAAAGAAAATCTCCGAAAACTGGAAAACAAACAGCAAAAGAATCAAACAGCGCATTTACACAATCCCATTGAGTGAGTTCGTGGTGATTTGGAGGCATATTATCCAAAAACCCGAACAGCACACCACGGCACAGATAATTTCTTTGCTTGAGTCTTCTTTTCTATGGCATCACGTTTTTTGCGCACCACGGCTGAGATTTTGACTTTTGATAACTGCATGAGAACTTTTCTTTTGTTTGACTTTGTTGGTCTAATGCATTGTTATGCTCACGTTATATTTGTTCTGCTCGCTCTCTCTCTCGTTAGCAATGCAACGCTTCAATTTTCTCTAATGGAAAACGGCAAAACGGTTTTCGAGTGCAGCGAACAGAGTGAAAAAAAAAACAATCTCCGTATGTTTGTTTTTATTTGTGAGTGTCTCTGCTGGTGTGCACTTAATTCATTTTTTTTCTTCCATTTCGTCTTGATATTTTATTATTGCTATTGTTGTAGTTGCTTTGGTTTTTTTCCCTCCCGATTCGTTATAACACTACACATCAGCTCAGCTGGTCGAATTTGTTGTGTGCTCGCGAAAGGCTCATAACTCAGGGAAAAGTCTTATGAAACATTGAACACGAAAAACACGGCGAACCAACTGAGAGACAAAGAGAGAAAGAGAGGGATAGAGACAAAAAACGCCACCAAAGACAAAATAAATTAACAAGCGCAGCCGAATTCGA